ATATGTAGTGAGGTGCTGCAACACGAAGTGTCGTGGGCGGCGCGGCGCGGGTCGTTAGCATTCTAACAAGATAAATGCACCATATTTACTGCCTGCTTGGACTTCTCAGGATTAATACAAGCTATCTTATCTACTATTTGCTTTGATAAATTCCACATAGAACATGTCGAAACAGAAATAAAAGAATCGTTACTGTCGTCTCAAAATCGCAATGTTTGTTCGATACTTATATTAAGTGTATCACCAAATATATTTAATGATACGAAATATCAATTTCAAAACGGTTAAACATTCTAAAGACAACTGTCTTCGATCATACCTGTCAAAATAGAACCGCTATCATCCTAGTTGCGGTACATTCGGCGATAAAAGTATTACGCATACAGGGAAGTGCTGAGCTGTTGGATATTTGCACGTAGCACGTGTTAGATAGGTATGCCAGGGATGGGAATGATCGTGGAGAACAGATGTAGTTCCAGGAAGGGCATCGTTGGTCGCGCCATACAACTCCTATTAAGTCCTACAGACCTATGATCATGATTAGCTGGCCATGTGATAGCCAGTAATGAGCCACCTGTTTTGTTTGTTTTACTTGCGCTAGTGCACTATATACTGATGTACTAATATAGCTGGAATGCAAGGACTTACGTTGATAACTTCATTTAGTCATTGCATACTTGCAATTTTATCGTATTAAAATATTTAAGATTTTCGTTTACGCATAGATAAAAGTAAATTTTATGTAACTGAACTACATAAATGTATATACTAGTTACATTATGAAACTGCACACAGACTTACAATTACTAGCTTACAATTTTAACATGCCACTGGAGGGTAATTTTGTGACGAGTCCACGTGAATCCGAGCCAATGTCAGTGGTTATTCAACAATAAATGATGTACGCAATCATACATAGGTGTCATTAAATGCCCGCATGGTTTACATTGTAATCGCTTTACTGTAGATAATCGTCCCATACACCACTCCTGCGCATGTACATATTGCGCCTTTTTTGTCGTGCTTCTCTGAATACTAATAACGATTACCATACAGCTATTATGTTACGTAATAAGTATGCTAATGTAATTATTATAAACTGTTTTACTGTCAGACTTTATCAGGAAACTTTGATCGAGTGTTCGTAAGTAACGGGGTCTCGACTTCAATTCCCGAGTCGGGCGAAATGTTGTTAAGTTTACATATAACATGTACTTTTAGTCATTTATGAATTCCAAGCAAACAGGGTGAGCTTATGGTCATACACTATAAATTATATTTTCACTTTCGAGGAATAAAACGACCTTACAATATGAATATTAGCGATCTTAAAAACTTCTAGATCATCAGATCTCACGAGAATGTAGCAAATTGTATCAACATTACTGACGCACTAATTCAAGCTAAATATTTTCTGTTTTGACGTAAATACTACATACAGCTGTTTGAGGTCCGGTCAAACCGATGCATGGTAACATATGCATGGGAGTTTTTAATACATAAACAGTCCCACAAAACAGGACACTAATTACTTGTTTAGTGCATACAAAGTACTTGAACGACTGACTAATTATTGTTTACATACGACATAGGTTCCAAATGGTCTAACACTAAGTACCTAACACATGTACTGATTATTATTTGTATAATGACTAAGTGTTACAAAGTTTAGCCGTAACTTGTAAAGGAATTAAGTGAAGAAAATAATTGATGACTTCCTTTAGCCAGTGACTAATGTTTAGACACGTGTGTATATGCCTAAGAATATCTTTTTTTTTACAATGAATCGGTTGGAACTTAAGAAGTAATTTAAATAAAATATATTTCATTAACTTTGATCGACAAGATATTTGTGACATTCGATGAATCATGAAAATTTTTTGTTCAAAAAGATCGTTATCGTATCGCTAGTCATTTTCCAAACGGTAGTTTGTAGAGGTAATTCCATTTAAACATTCATAAAAACTTATCCTTATGCTTTAGTAAATTAGTAATATATAATTATGTTATGACTTATGACCGTAACTCAATAATCTTTGAAGGTAAACTAAATTAAGGTGTTAAAGACCATGAAAATAGAAGGACATCTTCCACTTATCTTTGGTAACACAAACAAATAGTTATCACACTCTGTAGATACAGTCCTAATACTATGACATACTGTGTAAACAAAAGGTAGGTCGGGGACCGGACACCGCATTAGTAACAAGCCTATGAGTAAGATTAGACCTTACTAAAGTACCTAAACCTTACTAACAGAGGAAATTATGAATCAGCTATATGGCAAATAGGTCAATGACACATGTGTTTTCTTTGAAGCAAAAAGGTAGTCTACCTTTGTGTGCTTTCCAATTATTAATTACACAGGTTGCTCACAAAATAGTGCACTTCAAACAAAAACAATATTAATTTTAGCACACAGTTTGCGCTGCATGCGAATAACATTATAATCAGCGCGACAGACAGACAGTACTTATTTGATATTATGTTTGTATTTGTTATTCACATATTTGAGAATATGTTTGAATATGTTTTAGATTCATTCTGAAATTCTTAGTAATAATCAATTAAAATAATTATCTACAATAAAAAATTAATGATTAGCAACAAGTAACCATTCATTGAATTGTTCGCAAGTAATACACCTAAGTACATATGAATGTTCATTTAAAACTTCCATCATTCAAATATCTTAAACGGAGAAACATTAATAATGTTTTGATTGATGATTCAGTGGCACGTGGTTTTGGGCATTTAGTACAAGCAACGTCTCGACACGTAATCCTTTCTATTGAGAATGCCGTTGCTCGAGCACAGCCCGTTACTTCAATTGAAATAACTGGAATAACATATCGACATCCTGAATGTCTTCACAAATGTGATCACGTTTTACTATTTAAGATTGCAGTTTACAGTTTGTGAATTCATGTAGTGGGTACGTGTTCATATTTGATCGACGTTTGATTATCGAGTAAAAGCTTAAACGGTTACACCCGAATTACCGTCACAGTTTGCAGAATAAATTCTTAATAAAATCAAGAGATTATTATTGGCTGCGGCGCGAGGCATAACTTGTTTTGCTTTGAAATTATGATTGCCCTTAAAACCTCTTTAACTTAACATGTGGATGTGTATCCAGATCCACTACCACCGGCATACTATTTATTTATGTTTTTCCAAGAATGACGTCTTAATCACTATTAAGACGTCAAACTTCGGGACCGGGTATTTTTCCAATTAGCATTGTTACTCAGCAATGATGCGTGATACGTGCCGTTGGACGTCCCTCGAGGCTGTAGAAATTTGCATGAGTTAAGTAGGTCTGTGGAGCAGCCGCGCCGCGGGCTGGGCCGCGAGATCAGCGCGGGCGCAGACTCCGACAGTACCCGTTACTCATGGGGACACACTGACCCCGATATGCTCATACGATTCCATTATTTAAACGCCTCCATCAATAATCCATCCTCGGAAGTACACGCTGCTCTGCTTGCTCTTATTCCTTTCACTTATAAGCCCAAGACAAATATGCTTTACCGGCACGACGTTACTTTTTGCAGTTGCTCGACAACACTACTGTGTATCTTGAACCCCTTGCGCATTTCCAAAGAATTCATACTTGTAAGGAACAATAGTTTGCTCAGGAACATTGTTACCAATACGATATGTAGACCAAATAGCAGGCTACAATATTTACATTGGTACCCAGCGAGACGTACAAGTCATGCGTTTTGGTTTGTGGAACAAACAATGGCCTGCAACTTTGTGGTACCAAGTGTCAATGGCCTGGTCCCAACGCACCCAAAAACTGCCTGATTCTTTCGCGGTTAGTCATCAACATTGATTTATTTGCATTCAAAATAATGTATTCGTTGGGTTCAATGCTAAATTAGAATAAATACTTACATAATGATGTACTTGAGAACATTCCAAAATGTGTAATTTAACATGAAACCAGTGACAGAAGTATTAAACAAATACTTACAAAACAATAGAATATGAAACGCTAATACCTCTAGGTATATTTCATACTAAGGTCAATCACTCATTCGTGATGATATCTGTAAAACGTACGTTTGATTTGCTTAACAAATAGAAGAAATCTTTGAAAATATATTTAGTATTCTCTTGGCATTGGACAAACAATAGTAAACACGGGCTTTTGGGGGTATTGACTGCGGGATTAACAGTGACATTGTTGTGAGTATTCCCCGGCGTGAGAGGGAACAAAGAGCCTGCAGGCGCTCGCGCTGTTGCGCGTGCATTCAAATGCAGCGCACGCGCCCCGACACTGCCACAGCCCAAGGTCGCCATATCTCCGTATACCATCCGCGACTAGCGAATGCGCCCTCTAATTATATGCGAAACCTTTCTTTACATATTGCTAAGCAAAAACGTTGAACTCAAGTAAATCAGAGACTGTTTTATTCGCCATCGTTTTCATGTTATAATCTTACGCGGCATCAACGCAACTCATCCAACAAGAAATTATCTGCTGATCCGTTGTAACGACTTGTTTAATGTTATCAAGCAAGTTGACAATCAACAATGGGTGGGTAACCTTGCGACGATGTGAGATAATGTAACGTCACTAAGTACTTGTACCTATTGAGATAAACGAGCTCTGCAAGTAAATTAGTAGATTAGCTTAGTTTTGGGACTAAGACACATTTCCTATTTATTTCGCTTAAAAACCAATTACATAAAAGAAGTCGGTTAATGAACAAAATCCATTTCAATGCTTCCTTGTTGTTGCTTTCCTAGCTATAGTATAAATTACGATTATATGGGACTCTGTTTTCATTCGATTGAGGTTTTGGTTTGCACCTAGAACTTATATCACTTTAGATTTGCACTGCACTTACGAAAGCTTTTGCACTAAGTTGGTGCCTATTTTGAACACAACCTAACAAGTCGTAGTTAGACAAAGACATCTTTCGTGTGAGAACAGAGGCCTACTCCTGACATGGACACGGCAGGCTGAACATGATGCCTACTTTCAGATGTACTTAGCGCAGTACGGGTACCTGAGTCCCTCCGTGAGGAATCCGTCGAGTGGGCACATCATGGACGAAAGTTCGTGGCGTCGAGCAATCGCGGAGTTCCAGAGCTTTGCCGGGTTAAATGCGACAGGTAAGGTTATCAGCCAATACATCGGTTTATCGGTGAAAGCCTATCATTAATTTACAATTTACTGCCCACTGGTGCATTAATCATACGTGTATAATAACGGTTCCAACAGTATATTACATATACTACTATCAAGACACATTGAGTTACTTTTATTTCAATAATGTGTTATTTCTTGTGATAAAGATTTTTAAGTAAATTTATTTTTAGTTGGAGACAACTTAAATTTACCTATTGTCTCGTTACAATATTTGCTCACTTGTATACGCCGTATAGGTCTATTGTAGGTGAAATAATGATTAATTGTTTATGTTGTGACTCCAAATTTTGTTGACACTCATTAATAAAAATATAGTCCTAAGCAAATAATGTTTAAACTAATGATTCAGTTAAGTAAATGTTGTACAAAGGCGCCGTTGTCCTTAAATATTCACGGACCATTAGACTTTGATTAAGAGAATCAATTTGTGGTTAGTGAAAGCGGCAATCATTTTACTCTGCTGAAATTTTAATTTAGACTAGTTTGTGTAACACCTTGTTACAAGTCTAGATTCAATTAAACTAGTAATAATAAGTTTAGTTTTATTTTGTTGCAATGGAACTAAAATTCATGGAACAGTTATCTCAGTATCAGTCATTTGTCGATGATTATTATGGGAAACAAATAATGTATGACTGCCACATAAATTATACTTCTTTCCAGTTCAAAGTCATGGCTTCGATTTATCTATCACGAATGAATTAAAAGTCCATCGATCATTTTCACACGTTGTAATCTGCATTGATAGCAGTAATTGGTATAACTTGTATACCTACCGACTATTGAATTAATGTGCGGTAACAGTTAAAACTTACTTGACGGCGACTAGTGACCAAGCAGTTCCAAGATTACAAAGGTTGACATAATTAATGTGACGCTAGCTCATTTCCGTTGCCTTGACGTTGTAAAACGGTAATACCAACTTATGTATGCTAACATATCATTTTATCAGGGCTGTCAGCTGGCAAAAAGCCAAGTAAACCTTCTTTAATAAATAGTTTTCTTTATCAGCCAAAACGCATCGAAAATCTTTTGTAATGTTTAACACGCGACAATTTATTTGATTTGAATGTAGACTAGCAAATACTAAACGTTTAGCGGTAACCCTTATTATTCGCTCGTTAGTTCTGTACAGTTGGATGGATAGCCTTCGTCCTCATCACAGTTATTACAATCACACACGTCTACGGAGCAATTTATAAGTCTGTGCGATATCCACAAGCGAGTATTTAAGCACGGTGGAATTATGTGGGCAGTGCTGCGCTCGTCTCGGTACATGTACGTGCCTTGACACGAGAAGTAGTTTATTGGTCCCTACTATGACTGAAGCCAGTGTTGTTATGTAAGCAAATAACGCACACACATAAATACATAATTCATTATCGGTCACTGCACGAGTTCGGACGAGCTTGTCACAAACACTGCGTTATGATACCTTTAAAGATTTTGCGATGACGTCCACATAGGGTATCATTTATGTATGCACTAAGAATTGTAAGCTACTAAATGAGAAGAGAACCTACGTAAATGTCTGTTTACATTGATACGAAACATTAATTAATTCTTCTTCCTGCAACAGAGATAAGTTAATATAAAGCAGTTTTCCTTGTGTCGTATAAATTTTACAACTACATTGTTATTCCCCGTAACTATGAATGTAAATCGATCGCGTCGTCGTCAACTCACAGCTGATCAGTGCTCGGGGCGACCATGGTTCCTCATTATTCATCGTTTTCCGTGTGCGGTTTTGGTCGATGTGCTTCTGTAATTACTTCCTTGTCATCGTTGGATACAAAAAACCTATGTTTGTCATTTGACACTCTGATGTAGTATTTACGAGATAAATTCAGACAAATGACATAATAATTGAAATTCAACTGGCTGCCACGATATACTATTTACATAAAAGTATTTGTTTCCTATCAAATTAGGTAGTTAGTCATGACAATATAAACCACAACACACACAAATACATTGTATAAATATTTATGGTTGACGTTCGTTTACAGGTGAATTAGATGAAGAGACTACAAAAGTAATGTCATTGCCAAGGTGTGGTGTGCGAGACAAAGTAGGCTTCGGAGAGAGCCGAGCCAAGCGATACGCGCTGCAGGGTGAGTGGCCGTCTGTCTAAATATTATTAACATTTATTTATTTTAAACCAGATAATTATTGTTTGATCGTAACCCTAACCGCCCTCAACAAACACTCAATTACTCTGAAACCTTAAGCTGGCTGATAAATATTGATGTGAAATGTTTGTCTAGGTTCAAGATGGCGTGTGAAGAACCTCACTTATAAGATCTCCAAGTACCCGTCTAAGCTGAACCGTGCTGAAGTCGACAATGAACTTGCCAAAGCCTTCGCCGTGTGGTCTGACTACACGGACCTTACCTTCACACAGAAGCGGAGCGGACAAGTTCACATCGAAATCAGGTAAGTCTATCATTTGTCAAGTTTATCATACCACGCAGTTTTCAAATGTGAGGTGGCGTGTCTACAGCCAATAGTGCATGAAGGTCATCTGTACGCTAGTTCGCAGTTTCAACACTTTTAGGTCTCTACTCTCTTGTATAGTGAAACATTGCAAGAAATTTCGAATGCTCGAAATTTTACCCATTAATAACTATTATGGCTTAGAATGTAACAGAATTTCAACAGGTGTCATTGAAACTACAAAACTATAAATAACATTGCAAAGTAACACTTAGGTAATCCAACATTTTGGTTCTGCGACTTTCAGTTTAATTTCGTATCGTAACGTGCCTAATCGAAAGTTTATTCAAAAATTAGAATTCTGTTCGTGCGAAACGAAGTTTTATTAAAATGAGTGTTTCGTGGTACGCGGCCATCGTACATCGTTTAGATCAGTGCACAGATATTGAAATCGTGCCAGTGGCCGTACCGTATTGTCGTAGGGTTATTTGAATCACTCATAATAGGTTTTTGGTCACAATCCGCGGGTAATCTTTGTTGCGTAACTCCGTGAATGGTTGTCATTGAGCAGTGGACGCGTAACTACTAACTACTCGTACTACCTCATGCAAATTACTTTGATTCGCGATGTTCATTGATTTGATACAACATTTTATTACCGTTTAATGTCACTGTGAAGTTTTATTTGCCAATTAACACTCAATTAAACGTCGATAATGTTTGTTAAGATATAGGTAAATAATTTATAGGATTTGGTTTCTATTTAATGAATACTAAGTAGTTGATATCATGTGTACCGCTGCATGTATACGTAATAACATAATTTGCTTGTATTCCAGGTTCGAGAAGGGAGAGCACGGAGACGGAGATCCTTTCGACGGTCCTGGTGGCACTCTTGCCCACGCTTACTTCCCCGTAAGTACAAAAATGCTTTCAGCATACATTAAACACTTAATTTTGTTACGGATAAGTAGCTCTTCGTTAACGCGATTTGATATTTATTCAGTTCATCAAGAATATTAACGTTATATACGAGACAGGCTAGGCTTAGGATGGAAAAATTAACCGCAAATTCACAATATGTAGACAATGTATGCTATTTTCTGTAATATAAAGTCAAACACGTGCCAAGCTATTAGTGGTCATATATTAAACAGTGTTAAAGCAAATGTTTTATCGATTTTACTATTCAGGTCATGTTGCAATAGACAATTGGAATTATAATAAGCTGTCTACAATAGTTTTTATACGTTTCGTTATAAATGACGATTCTAATCGTAGAGCACATGCCGAAATGTCTGGTATTCACCTAGCTGTACATTTTTTTACATTTTGATTGTATTTTTAGTTCAAGTTTTTGTTATTAAGCTGGCGTACCGTCTAAGGTTCGTTGTCCCTTAAACAGTTAACTATTAGGAATGGAATAGATATAGTTGGAACATATTTTGTCATAAATTGTAAACAACCCTGTAAACACTATAGATGCATTAAAGTGATTTGAATTTGAATTTGAATTAGATAGGCTAGATGGATATAATAACAATTGAATTAACTTAGTCCGTACGTAAGTCCATCACTAATTCTCTACGTTGAAGTTTGACGGTAAAGGTGAAATAACATTACGTCCAAATGTCTCTGTTATCAAATGAACTAACATTTGCACTCAAACAAAATAGAACGAGCCATTATGTGGGTGGAAATAAAAATAGCGGATGTAACAGATTTACGCCTAAACAGTGAAAGTTTCTTTGTTCAGATAATGGGATAATAAAACGTTTGATTGTGCGAAACAAATTATAATATTTGTTCTTTTTATTGTACAATGTGTTTTGTTGCGAGTGAACCGCTAAACATACGGAACACACTTTTCTTTTTACTCGATTTGCATACATTATGGACAGCGTTTAAAAGCTGCTAAATGCGTGGCTTACTGACTGACTTTAACTAACGTTACTAAGGCAGTTGTGTTAATAAGTAAAGTAAATGTTACATATCCTTTATCCAAGTTTTAGACATTCACTTGACACTAATAATCAATTCTCTGTTGCTGGGCAAGTATTGGTATGTTTAGAACTACAATATATGTCTATATCCTAGTTCTAAAATCATTAATATCAACATACTTGTGTAACCTAAGCCATAGTCAGAAATACATTTTTAATTTTTATAGACATGTGGAATTTAGTAGAATTCGATGGCATATAGCAATATTTGACGTCAAAGTATAATAAATTATGTAAATATGCTATATATATTGCACAATATTTTCGTAAGAGCTCTTAACATTCAGTTTTGAAGTCAGGAAATGCGAAATAATCTATGTTTACTTATCTACCTCTCACAACTAAGCGTGGAACAAAATTAACATGAGTTATTGCAGAATCAATCAATTTAATTATCTACTAAGAATTGTACGTGCGGCCGGCTAAGGTTTTATAACAATATGACAATTATTGATTCATCAGTAATGATGTTGATTTTCCTCAATGACTGCTCGTTTGTGCAGGTGTACGGCGGCGACGCTCACTTCGATGACGCTGAGATGTGGTCCATTAATTCGAGAAGGGGCACCAATCTCTTCCAGGTAATTTCGAAAAGGTTTTTATTAAAATATGCCAAATATTGACCTCAAACCTATAGCTTTTTAAGTCTATACAACTCCTAGTTGTTGTTTGAATAAAGAAATTACGTCACAAAGATAAAATAATGTCATCATTGCAGGTCGCTGCGCACGAGTTCGGTCATTCTCTAGGGTTGTCCCACAGTGATGTCCGGTCAGCGCTCATGGCTCCATTTTACAGAGGTTACGACCCTGCCTTCCAACTTGACCAGGATGATATTCAAGGAATTCAGGTAAACAAGTTGTACTACATTAAGAAAAATATAACATTTTTCCCTAACAATTATTGTATTGACATTTGTATGTATGTTTACAGGCTCTCTACGGACACAAAACACAGACTGACATCGGAGGGCCCTTGCCGGCGGCACCATCTGTTCCACGCGCCACTACACAGCAACCTGCTGCCGAAGACCCTGCGCTCTGTGGTGACCCTAAGTTTGACACCATCTTCAACTCTGCGGACGGTGGCACTTTCATATTCAAAGGTAATAAACTTACTGCTCTACTGTTTTGTAGATAAGTAGCCAAATTACTTTTTGATAACTGTTTACTTAATTGATATTTATTGTAAGCTGAACATATAAGTGATGTGTACCAAGAACTAAAAAGCAGTTACGGCATATTATGACAGCTTGTTTACACGAACAGAGCAAGATACTGCAAATACCCCAAGTTACCGAAGGAATCTAATAAATGAAATAAAAAAAATTGAAGTTTGACATGACTTTTGTAAATTTCCAGGCGAACATTACTGGCGTCTCACGGAGGACGGTGTTGCATCTGGATACCCTCGTCTGATCTCACGGGCATGGCCTGGTCTGCCCGGCAACATTGATGCTGCCTTTACATACAAAAACGGCAAGACTTACTTCTTCAAGGGATCCAAGTACTGGAGGTACAATGGACAGAAGATGGATGGAGACTACCCTAAAGATATTAGTGAAGGTAAAGACGAAACCTTTTGACTCTTTCGGCAATTTCGAATACTTTTAACAACTTTTTCACATTTGAATTTCCTTATGAATTGTCTTTACTAAATCGTAAATGTCTCGTTCAGGTTTCACCGGCATCCCTGACAATCTAGACGCCGCCCTCGTCTGGTCTGGCAATGGCAAGATCTACTTCTACAAGGGATCCAAGTTCTGGCGCTTCGATCCCTCTCAAAGGCCACCTGTCAAGGCCACCTATCCTAAACCTCTCTCCAACTGGGAGGGCATACCTGACAGCATTGATGCTGCCCTACAGTACACTAATGGATACACGTACTTCTTCAAGGGTGGTTCATACTGGCGGTTTAATGACAGAACTTTCAGTGTAAGTACCGTAATTGCAATTTAAATTTACGTCAAGCACTGGCTTAATAATTCAGAATAATACTTTACGTCATAAGCATTTTATATGAATGCACATTCTATTAATAGGTAGAATAAATCTAATGCTGAATTGAATTTGATATTCAGGTTGACTCAGACAATCCAGCGTTCCCGCGGTCGACGGCGTTCTGGTGGCTCGGCTGCAGTAGCGCGCCGAAAGGCACCGTAGGAGGTAACGCGCGGCTCTCTGACAGCGCCAACCCCGAAGGCGATGATGACGTCGGAGATATACTGTTCGACGCAGGTAGGCGGACACCCAGGACCGCGTGACTGACAAGTCTTGTCTGACATTGACTTTATAATGATGTAATTGCGACTTTAGATGACTAAATAACAAATTCCGAGATCATTTCAGCAAACGAGATCACAGAAGTGGCAATGTAATCTGAAACTTGTTGTATAGAGACATCAACAATACGCATTTATTATTAAAAACAGATAACTGAAAATACCAGTTGCAGATTACTGCAGCACGACTTGACTGCTTAAATATTTATTTTGAACAACATTGCTGTTAAGGTTCATAAAAAATATTTTAATTCATTCCAAAACAGCCCTCTGAAGAGGAATAAACTTAATTAATTTGACAATTAAAGACTAAAACTCTCCTGACAATGACAAAGAGTTGGCCCCGTATATATGACCGTAGGGGACGTTACCACTCGTCGACTCCACTGTTCCATGTCTGCTCCTGTCTCTATGTGGATGTTTATCTATTAGATGTATTGTAAACTCTTCTTGTAAACTTGTTGTCCAATATATGTACGTTTTATATGTTGTAGAACCAATCTGACTCTTAATCAATGCCTACTTCTGTATTGATTAAAGAAATCTAATACTAACGCTAACAAACTTCTACATAATTTCGGTAATGGTTCTCATGTACTAACAAAATTAACATTATTTAGAAATTTTCATTGACTAATCGATTTACCAACTATTTAAAAACTAATTTTTCAGCTTTATAACGGCTTTTAATGGAAAGCTACTTAATAATATTGCGATAAAATTGTCGGCTTATATTCCTTCTAATAAATATGAGCTGTTTGCTTACATGGCCGCAGTGTACCTAACATATAAAGGTGGTGTTGCCTGTGTGGTGGCTGGAGGAATGAGTGTAGCTGACGGTGTCTGGTTTTCGACCTCGACGACTTTCGCGGCTTCTGGGCTCCTCCGAACCTACCTGCTGTTGGTAAAGCTGCGGCACTCTAAGAATAAATAATGTGTATTCTTATTTAAATACTATCAGATGTTGTCTGTTTGCCGCAGTTTTAACAATTTAATCGTGGAATCTTGCGATTTATTTTGGTTAAAACAATTAGTTTCACTCTGCAATGCAAGCACAGGATAAAGCACTTGCACTGATTAAAGTAAAAGTTTTGTACACCCACGTAACTACATATTTGCCGAATCGATTGAAATAGGGAGGCACGTAATAGTGTTTGACAATAAACATAAGTTATTTACGTAGTGATAACTATCTTTACCTGGAGCAACTTAAACGCGACTTTTTATGAAATAATACAAACTCGTGCCCGTCGATCCGGCAAATAATGCAAAGCAAACTTTTGTTGTTGATTATTCACATATGTGTTCAATGTTTGCACCAACATTTGTGTTGTTTTAATAATTTATTTGTAACGTCACAACAACAATCAGTCACCGTGTTTTGTAATGCCATTAAACCGGTGGCTGGGGCGTGTTCACGTTTCGATGTGTGTGTCTTTTATTTCTAGGTGTAAAATCATCCGCTCCCAGATCATTCTTCTGGTTCAGGAAATAGCCTCGACGGAGTGTTCCTGAATATTGTACATAGAGAATTAACATAAAGAACAAAGACTCAATTAGTTACATAAATATAAGAATACCAGTGAGATTATAGAACATAAGCGGTGATTTTAGTACCGGCGAGCTTGTCGCGTGCTGACGTACGTTTTATTTCATTTCACTTGCATGTTTACAGCATGGTAGATAGGCGCTTTCTTCTTTGGTGGTGGCCCGCCAGCTCGGACAGAGCTGTGTATGCTATAATGCTTTGCTTACTCATACTCACCCTTATTATACTTTATTGATGTTCTTAGGCAGATACATATTTTGTATTTGGCAATTTTTATCTTTCTAAGAACGTCTGGTGATGGAACTCTAACTTAGCCAAACTTAGCAGCATCTTGGGGTCTGGATATTCTATACTATACTTTGGTTTAGGATACTAATATTTGTAGTTCATAAGAAGAAGTAGTTAGCAACTAAAACTACAATATAAGTTTTGTCACCTTAGGATCTTCACGTATTTGGTGGTAGGGCAATGTAGAATAAAAATAGTTGTTGTTTATAAAATTCATCGGTTTGCAGGGTTGTCGAAGCATAAAATAAATGTATTCGTGTTGAACATTTAATCATTGCAGCGATTGTTTTCGTTAATTTAACGAAGGACAGTTATCACATGTAAGATAAAGTTTTTAAATAACGTTCACTAAATAAAAGCACTCTTGTGTTGTTTTCAAGCACTGTGTATTCACAGGTAAACATAATAGACACGAAAACAAAATTAAAAAGGGACATATAGGTACAATAAAGATATAACTGATGTTGATACCTATTGTGAAATTTAAATTCAATTTTGAATTCATAAGAAACTATTGAAAATAGAAGATTGTCAATTAAAGACCATGACTATAATAGCCTAATGGTTACAGTTGGACGTCAAACGAATAAAAACACAACAGTTTGCATGTCGAAGGGACTGGATACTTATTATAATAACTCTAGACAAATGTCATGTCATCAAATTAGTTTTGTGACTAACACCAACGTTTAGCATGAAATAGTTACTCATTGTGTCTCAGTGAGTTTTAGTATTTAACATGCAAGTGAGGTAGTCCTATTATAAGGTTGCAAAAAGTTTCTGAAAACCAATAAATACTCAAGTAGAAAATAGTGATGCATGATCTGAATGATGTCTTTCGTCTTACTGAACAACTACATGAATAAGTTATAAAAAAATAACTTATTTGTAAATATTAAGACGAAACCATGAGAAGTACGGTGATGATAGACGTAATGTAAATAGTGTGGTACAGTAGTTAGTAGTAGTTGCACATAGTAGTACCGGTTGTGGGGAACTAAAGTGATGTTGCTAAAGGCAAGTTGATGTTTCAGTGGTGAGCGTTCAGTCTTCAGGCGCTAGACTGTAACATGAGGTTCACTCGGCCCCAAGCCGCTTCGTATATTAGGAGGTTATCACCACCTCCGCCGCGTCTTCACTCACCCGCATCTGTAGGTTTATTTTAATTTCCATTATGAATTCCTACTGTCAACTCCATTTCTTATTTTATATTGCCATTTACTGAATAATAACTCGCTTCGGTTAATCACTACGTAATAACGCTGTCAGCTGATTCTACCGAAACAGATCGTGTGCACTATCTATCTGTAAATGAGAAACTCGTATTAATTGTGATTTACTGGTGTAATAAACTCAAGGATATTAAGAAATGGATTTTACAGTACATTCGCACATTTTACATTTGTGTTCTTGTTTTGTTATGTGTCCAATGTCCTAATGCACAATGTCCATTCAATTGTAACTACAAGTAGCGGGTACCTTACCGAGCACTATAGCACGACAGCATGTTATTATGAGGACTATCCCACTTACCCAGCCAAGCTTTATTTAATGCAGGTCTGAATCCGTTCTTATTTCAAAAATTGTATTTCATAACTAAAAATAAAAGGTAAACTTGACACAAATAATGTGTATACTATATTTAAACTACGTTTAAAAAACCGACTTTAATCTTCTCTTTTTTGATGTCGGTTAATCAATATACTAGACTTCTTCTCCTAAGTGTAAAATACACTTTTCTGAAAACCACGACATAATCGTGCACAAATATACATACACACAGGTCAAACTAAAAACCTCCTTCTTTTTTTGAAGTCAATTAAAAATCGAATGGATTTATTCCTGTGTTATAATCAAGTGATAGTGGGAAATTAGTAGTCCTCCTTAATTCTAGTTCGTGTAATCATAAAAGTGTTGTGTATGCAGATGGGTCAGATTCGGGCGACAACAGCGGGCGCAGCGGCGCGAGCACTCGCGCCCTTATGACGCCGTTGTCGCTGACAGCACTAGCGACGCTGGTGGCGCTAGCGACCAGGGCGCTGCAGCCGCGCGCCTAGCGCCCGCCGCGCATTTAGCGCCCACCGCGCGCCTAGCGCCCGCCCTCGGCGCTCGCCAGCGCCCGCCGCGCGGCCCGCGACACTGACTGTGATGGTGTACTGTGTGCCTGGACGCGTTCGGTATATTGTGTATAGCGAATGCGCTACTGTGATGACGAGTGCGCCTTTTTATACTGCGAGAACGATAATTTAAAGCGAAGTCATAGTTTTTATACTTAAGATAAATAGATGATGTAAGCTCGTGTGTGATATTGACGTAAGCGACGATTTTTATATTAAAATATTTAAAGTGACCACATTTCTGCATTTTATTTAAAACCTTCTGGTATCAGGGGAAAATAATACTCGCGTTTGTATTTTTAATCGGTTTATTTAACGTTTTTCTGTTTTCCCAATAATTCTTCTTAAGTTATTAATTACAGTTTTAAATATGACAATATTTTTCGTTTTTATTCCATTTTCATAAACGCATTTTTTTAATAAACATTTCACAATTCATCATAACACGGTCGTGCGACCTACTGTCTCAATCGTTCTAACTCTTAGGAAAATGCAAATAATATTAAATTTCAAAATCTGTCTACGATTATTCGAACGTGATTAATCTTACTTCGAGTGTCGAACGATGTCTACATGCGACGGTGGCGCGGCCCGCGACGGACTACGCACCCGCTACGCCGCGCCTACGCCGCTCCGTAGCTATGGCGTAGGCGGCGTAGCGGGCGGGAGTGGCGGCCGCCGCCACCCGCGAGCCCTCGTCGCACACTAACAGTTTATAATCATTTAGAAGGCGTAACATAAGACTTATTACACGATCACTACTCGAGAAACACCTACAAACACATCCTAGATCATATCAATATATCGGAGCCCGCGTGCTGGCAGTGAGTGGGCGCCGCGACCCGCCCGCGCCCGCGCTGCGCGCCGCGACCGCCCTCAAGTGCTTATCCTTGTTATCATTATGAGTTAAGATTTTATTCTACGCTACCTCTCTCACTATGAATTAGGCATTTTAATGATATTATTTATAGAGATTAAAATTATGTTTAAGCAGTCCTGATGACAGATCGACAATTATTTTAATGTACTTTTCATCAACAGTGCAATCCTAACTACATATTTTATAAAAAAAACAATATATGTATTAAACATAAACATTCAATTTCAGTATATCAAGTGTGCTTTAAAGTCCTCATAATCATACATATATTTATATGATCTAGAACTCATCAGGAATAAATGAGACCGATGTGAGTCTGTACAGTTTAGAACTAAATACGAACACGCAATCACACGTTCAGTGAAAACAGTACAAAATGTACAAGGAGTGTACTCAAAGTGGAACCGAACACAATACATACAGTCAATGAACGGCTACAAGTCTCACCTAGAGCCAACGTAACACAAAACATTTACTTTAATGGAAATAACACTAATGACATTCATTATATATATACTAATTATGAACAGAGAAACAAACAAATAAGTAGATAGATCGCAGCCACTTGCGTTGTTACTTTCATATATTCGGTACCTCAATGTTCCTACATCTGTATCAAATACAGACAATCTTCGCGAGTACACGAGCACGCAGAATCTGTGGCAACTGTCCATATAATATTTTCTAATAATTTATTTATATATAAATACTATAATGAGGTACGCAACATTAAATCGTAATCGTATTGAAAAAGATGTTGCCCTATTGTGCGGGTGCAATAATAATTCGCTTACTTTAACAATTGACATTTAACTGTTACAAAGTTTATTTACGATGCAAAATATCATTATATTTAATGAGGAAGGATTACCGTAAATACCATTCAAATTTTGGGATAGTATACAAGAATCTAGTATCGTGGTGGCCCGGAAGTTAAAGACGCCCGCTTCTCATGCATGAGGGTGCGGGTTCAAAACCTACTAACAGTAAGTACCAATGTGACTTTTTCCGTAATTTCTAATTATAAGTTAGAAATCGCCAACCCGCATTGCGCAAGCGTGGTGATTAATGCTCAAACCTTCTCCGTGTGAGAAGGGGCTTTGCTCAGCAGTGGGCATTATAGGCTGTTGATGTGTGATGTGTGAGACAAGAATCTCAATTGAAACCGACGGCTAGGATCTGTGTATGTCGATCATGAGCTCTGCCAAAGATATTGGTATTTCATAATGAAGACTAGAGTCTTAAGTGCTGTCAGAGGCTCGGGTAGTCTCGAGATTATTCACACGCCTTAACAAATATTGCAAATTATGGCTTAATTAATGGATGATAAAGTCCGTGTGACTGAAATATCCGCAAGTATTCAATAAACAGTATCATTCTTCAACATATTTATATTTTTGTATTCAATAACGTATCAACAACAATTAAGCTCTGTTATATCAAAGTAGAGACTTTGATATTTATAACTGTCAAATGCTGACTATCTTACTGTTCAGTTTCCTGCGGTGGCAATATATTTTAAATGCATTTGATGCATTACTAAGTAAATACTGAATATTTGTCCAACTTTACATACATATATCTGCTGTCTGCCTACCCGTGTACCTCATCAACATTCAGAATAATATATTAAATATATTATTTTATAATATCGTATTAAATGGCTTTGATTTATCTACGTATTTATACAGTAAAGTAATAGGACATGGTCAACTTATAAAAATAATATACCCAACGATTAAAATCTAAAGAGAAACTTTCGGGGTTGAAACTTGAATCGCTTACTTATGAAACTCTCCGTTTAAAATAACGTACAAATTGTTAAATCTATTTATATGTATTATGTATTGATACACTAGGTATAACTTCATAAGACTTGATACATTTTCAAATGTGTCTTAATTTACTTAACTTTTGCCTAAATTGTGGAAGGCCATATCGTACTCGTATCTTGTTACTTGTAGCAGGCAATCATTACGTCACCTAACTTCAACCACATTATTTCATAGAGGATTCGTACTATCAGAAATTCATACAACTCAAGCAGAACTGTACACAAACTTCTCTCGTTTGGAACTTATAAATAACACAGAAACTAAAAAATGTTTATAATAATTTTATTGTAAGTACCACAAAGTAAAATGAAATCAATGTTTTGAGTAACAAAATCATCAATCGTGAATCTTATTCGTTGTTTCTTAACGTTCAGTTGTGGTATTAAAATGAATACGATCATCTTTTAACATGAAAGCAATCTGTACTTAGTGAACTATTGTAGACATTTAGTTTAGTAAACGAACTATCACCGGCATGGTTGTCGCTAGAATGTTTTAATACCACAGCCGAGTTACATCTTACATTTTATACCCCTAAGCATAGTGACATCTACTGGCAGTCATCGAAAATAATAATTCGTACAAAATATATAATCATCACGATTACGGAAACATTCCATCGAACTTCATTGAATACTATGTATACGTACCTATTAGTACTGCGTGAATATAACACGTATATGTATTCAAGTACATATATCACAGCGATTGGAACCAAAGTGGAACGTACCGTACGTTGCTTTGTTTATTACTTACTATGTCGCGGATAACTGTCGTGTATGTAAAGGCTACGATTTGGTGTTTTGCTTACTTATATTACTATCTGTACGTTTGTGAACAATAATGTACGAAATACACATTTAAAACGCTTAATCATCGATGGACGACCCCGAAAGCCTAACCTTCTGTTTGTTTTGTGCGTGTGTGTGACAGTCAACTGAGTTGCCGCGCAACCTAAGGTGAGGGACTTAAAATATAGAACAGTACAACTAGTTAATTCCTGATTATCGAGTAATTTACATTGAAATGGACTTGAGGTAAGGTTGCCGCGCCGGCGCCGGCCACCCAGCGCGCGGCGGGAGGACAACGGAATGTCAGCAAGAGAACCACGATATGGCAGACAAACGAACGAGATCTCGGCAGCAGACGGAGCATGGAACTTCCTACGATCATTAATTCCTAATCTTTACTTCCCAGATACATTTTATAGCTAATACATACGTTTTCGTACACTGCTTTACATCAGCTTTTCATCATATTATTTGTGCGTTAAACATTTACACTTTATTATGTACATCAAAACATACGTATATTATTTCGTAAACATAATGTATACACTATCACCAAACGTTTAACGGAAATGAACAATACACCCGTACACTAAACCTAGAGAGAATGGCACATATTGTGTGAGTCTGCGTGCGAGAGTGCAAGTGTGTGTTGTCGGTAAGGCGCACGCCGCGCCGCATGGTGCACCGATCGTCACCGCTCGTCTCACGTCACGCCCTTATTACTGTTTTCTTTGAATCCTGCTGACTCTTTCCTTCGAGTCAAACTGTTTCAAGAAGGTGACTCTAGTAAAGTATTTTATCCGTTGCGCTCATATTTGTTTGTTGGGTGTAATTGTGTATGTAGGTTCCAGTGACGAAATGTTGAATTACATAATTGTGTGTTAGCTTTGTCGACATACATTGCGGGGCTGCGAGATGATTGTCGTTATTGAACAGTTGACAAATGAAAAGCATCAGTACTTAACATCCGAACCGAACTCCTCTCTTTGGTCTTTCACTATCTTCTACTCTAATAAAGTGAACGAGTGAAGACATCGATAGTGTACAGTGGCGACACCCACAAGAAGAAATGCACGGTCAATGTGTAAGTTTTAACGAGTGCTCGAAATTGATCCAATTAATTATGTTCTAGTAATTCATTTTCTATTACTAAATTTTAGACATTTTGATAATTTAATTTATATAAGATAGATACACGTTGATACCATGAAGGAGCACCTACGCAGTAGGGCGACGTACAACTCGCACAACGTTGCTGGTTACTTTAATAAAATGTATGTGCATTAAGACCCGACTCTCTGAAATGAATTTACCGGAAACTTTCCTTATTTAGATATTCTAGTTAGACTCTTAGATTAAATATGAAACCAAACATGTAAATATTTATATATCTGTGAATATACAAACAATAGGTATCAATTTATGACATGAACCTCAATAAAGTGTTAAAATATCTGTATTCAATGAATAGCAAACAATCGATTTCAAACTTTTTATTGTTAACATCTCTCGAACTCTAATACCTACTATAAACTCTCTTGAAGAGACTAACACTATGATTCTCAACATTTTACTTTCAACTGCGGATACCGAATGTTAGTGAACAACGCGATGGCGAGACTACTCTACCGTTCCCAGTGATGGAGCATGGAGCATGAAGTGATTCCTGGCAGCTAAACAACCGGGCAGGTATGCGCGCAGTGTGGTGCCACTTCCCGAGTGAAGGCACTGAGGAGCGCGAGCGAACATACTCGACTGAAACAATAACGACTCACTGATCTATTGTCACCACTTGCTCACACCACCTACTATACTCCTAGTCTACGTAGTGAACTTTACTCAAGGAATATTCTCACTTGAAAATACTATGAAAATAGATGATAGCTTCTGTAGGTAAGTTTTGTAAACGTCGAGTGATATGAGTGTGAGGCATCAGTATTGCCGAGACTGTGAAAGTACCGCCTGGCTGGCCGCGCGGCCGCTAGTAACCGCGTCGCATGGACAGACAAACGGATCACCTCGTATTGGAAGTTGACACAAACCAAGTCTTAAGAAGCGTTAATAGACCTTTAGCACCTTCGGTGACGACGATTAAGTATGGGAGTGGAAACAACAAACCGTTTTTGACATTATGTACACACGATAAAAACGTAAAAAATAACTTACTTAATATTATTATCATTTATTTGAATACAACAACTACATGCCTTCCGAGGGCAATATTCTCAACAAATGTTCATTCAATAAAGTCTTAATAACCATTAAATTATGCTCTTTTCATCACACAATGTTTAACGATACTCTTCTAATATTCTTCAAAAATAAAACAAAACTAACAAATGTTGTTACCTATAAATGTTGAAACAACAATATGATGAAGGTCATTTACCATTATCAATAGTCGACACGATATACATATACAATAATATATATTAAAAATCAATTCATATAAAAATCATTTTCAACCATTCTGTGTTACCAAAACGTTAGATCATAAGACGGAATATATTACATATAACTTTCATTATATGCATTATTCATAATATTTTACTTCTTACAAAACAACAACTACTTTATTAATCCTATATTATTTCATTTATACATAATCATGTAGTCACTATTAATTAGGCATCGACGTGCGGACGGCGACGCCGCGGCGACACATTGACGCATGTCGCGCTGTCTCCGCGGCGCCGACGCACTCACTGCTCTTGTGCAACATTACAAAAATAACTCTCTAAAAAACATTTCATCTGTGTTATCGTCGTGTTGTGGCGTGATCGGAAGAGTAGATTTCTGCCGTCCAGATCACGTCCCCGAAATTTGTCACGTTATCTTCGTGCCCTACAAATTAAGGTACGATTGCAGATCCAAGAACTTTAGGTCTACTCTTCGTCGCACGACGGCTTATAAGAATGCTGAGTTTCTCAATCTGTCAAAGCTTTCAATTATGGCACATACATTTATAATTATTTTATTGCATCAGGTATTTGTTCTACATAATAATGTAGTATAAAACACATCACACGTTACCCTAATGCAAATAACGCTTCGTACAAATGTACCCAAGTAAGTACTTGTACATTGGTTGAAACTCTATGAGTGACCTTTCGCAGTTTTGTTTTCTAGCTATTTTTGTAAGTATTGCTTGTCATGTAGGTAATAAACTAGTCAGCATAATATATAATATAGAACATAAACTGTGTATCTTATGAACAATATAACTGTAAAACACTATGTAAAATATACGCAACATCTTCGCTTAACGCAAAACATGTATCTTTGTTTACAAATCGTGCCAAAAATATTAACATATTGGCCGGAACATCGGCAAACAGCGCTTACGAGTTAAATGCATAAAGTAATTCATGAGTGAACATTTGGTGTTTCCATACTTCGAGTGTAACCAACGAGCGGACACAAATATTAGTTAGAGAGTGTGTGTAGGCCGCGGCGGCGGTGGCGGCTCGCGTCGCTCGTCGGTCTCGTAACCGCACGCTATTTATTATATTAAGTTCTGCACTAACAGAGGTTCCGATCGCTGGCCGGCGATCGCAGGACGCGCGGGTGCGACGCACGTTAACGTAAAACTATAACCTCGAATCGCGCACTTTCACTAAACGCGTGGCCGCGGTCCAGTGGGTCCGTGCGTGCGCGGCCAGGCCGAGCAGCAGCAGCGCGAGCAGGAGGCGCGGACGCGGGCGCGGCGCGCTGCCCGCCGCCGCCGCCTGGTACGGCACCGAGCAGCCCGCCACGCGCTCCTCCACGGCCGGGCAGCGCTCTGCCTCCGGCCGCTGCGACTCGCTCAGCCGCAGCTCGCACCGGTAGCACAGCCTCCCCTCGCAATACCAGTAGCAGCACTCGTCCCGCCCGTAGTTGGACTTGTTCGCCTGCGCACCCGTCTCCGGGATACGCGGGTCTGGAATCACATGAGTCGTACGCTGATTAAATCGATTCCTATACGAATACTATACTAGCGTCATGGACATTCCCATAAACCAACAACAGATGCCAGATTTTAAAGTGGAAGGAAAGTTAAGCGGAAAAGTGCAGAGCAACAATTGGTCAGAGACAAAGACTTGTACGAACACAAAGAAAAATAAAGTAGCGTGTAGTTCGCCAGAGGTAGTGTTTGCTTTGTGCTCTATCGTTTTGAACTGCGGCCAAGCCATGGCGGAAGGCTAATTGCAGCTAATCTATGACTCCGTTGGTCATTTAATATGTACAAACTGAAGTAAAGAAGTTTCATACATTTTGAATTTTCTTATTTCTTTAAATCGGTAGTAATTTGTTCATACATACTTAACCATATTGATAATGTTAACTATTTTTACTTCCTAATGATGATTATACTTAGTACTTACGTGGACGTTGTGATGCTCTGCAATAGGTAATATTACACGTATTTGTTTGCCTACAGTGTAGGTAGTTGTGTCATGTAACGATGTGCATATATTATTATTTATGCAATTTTTCAAACAAATAGTTAACTCACTAAATAATGTTTTTATAGGCAATGTTAATAATTATATTAAGTACATTACAACCATATAATATGGCAATGAAATACTGGCAGACAGAATCTAAGAAACTTTAAAGTGGTCTGACTCTAAATGCCCTTCAACTATTTGGATGGTGGAGGTCAGACGGGGGTTGACCTTAATATAATAGGAGTAGAAACATTATAAGAACTTACCGAGACATAGGAACGTTGGCTCGCCGGCGTATTGCGTGGGGTACGCGGGCGCGCGATCCGCCGGCAGGAAGTAGGGGCAGTGTTGCTCGACGAGCTGGCAGACGGAAAGGCAAGGCTTGAGGCGGACTAGGGGCCGACCGGGCCCCGCGGCGGCAGCGCGCACCCAACGGCCCACGACGCCGCCCGCGCCGCCGCGCCGCCGGTCCAGGTGCCCCACGCGCTCGAGGTGCCGCGCGTGCCACCGCGCCGCGTGCTCGGCGGGCGCGCGCCGCGACCTGCCCGTCTCTTCGCTGCCTTCTTCTGACCCTTCTTCCACCCACAATGGCACCATTGTACTGCACGCCCAACGTCGATAAGTTTCCTGGAATATAAAACATGTTTTCTTAATTACTTTTCTGACTATCAAGCAAGGTGTTTAAAAAATCAAAATCAAAATCAAAATCAAAATCAAATCAATTTATTTGTGAACACAGGTTATACAGAAGGTGTTTAACATACATTAATAGAATCTCTATGTTCTACCAATAAAATTGGTGTACAAATAGTTATGAAGTCAGGCAGGTACCAAGCATTATTAATATATTTAAATTAAACAAGTATAAAAGAATCATAATGGTATGTCAAAATTTATCATTTAGAAATAAGTCAATAGAATAATATGTCTTGTCAATTAAAAATAATGTCAGTTTTCGTTTAAAAAGTCTAATATTATTTTCGTTTCTTATATATTTAGGTAGTTTATTATAAATTTTTGGAGCCATTGCAAAGATACTGTTCCTGTATAGTGCAGTTCTAGATTTTAATAAGTGTAACTGGTCACAACGACGTTGACTGGTTACTCGGTCAAAATTATTAAAATTGTTTTTAACGAACATACCAGTCTCATAGATGTATAATGAGGGGACCGTCAAAATTTTGAGGTCTTTAAAGAAAGTGTAGCAGCTGTCGGTAGACTGCAGATTACAAATAGCCCTAATGCATCTTTTTTGACACTTGAAGACCATTTCTTTACCGGTTGCATTCCCCCAGAAAATTATTCCATATCTTAATGTTGATGCTACTAGACCATGGTATGCTGTCAACACTGTTTTTCGGTTTGCAGTTTTATTTAACATGTGTAGAGCATAGGAATATTGATTTAACTTATTACACACCTTATCTATATGAACATTCCATTTCAATGTTTTCTGTATACTTAGTCCTAGAAATTTTGTTACATTTGTTTCATTAATACTTTTTCCGTGATATTCTACAATTAAATTTTTGTATTGATCCATTCGCTGTTCAAATTTCATTATTGCCGTCTTTTCTAGGTTTATGATCAAATTTAAATCTGGAAAAAGGTCAAGTATTGGAATTTTTTGATTTAAGGGAATAGCTTAGGGAACTACTCAACGGTTTATAGTAGTTACCTGGTGTTTGGCCTTGAATAATTAGTATTGATGAAACTTTGCACTCATGTGGGTTATACCTTTCTTAGCCTCTTTATACCTTAATTAGAAATCTGCGTTTAAAAACTGACTTCAAAAACTAAAAACAAACAAGAGGTGAAAACTAAAAACCAAAATATATATGTATATCTTATTAATTCCTTATAAACAGCAGTATATTTGCAAGACCGTACTTTTATATTGTAAACAATATATAAAATAAAATAGACTTCTCCGCAACATGGAACCGCGGGAAGAAAGATTCTGTATAGAGATTACAAATCGGAAGACGGAGCGGTAATCGACGATCCAATAGATGGAGAGATACGCGCAATGGAGTCGCCACTATCGGCTCTGAACCCGGCTTATCTAAACCGTCAGTACAACGACAATTTTTAATAGTTTTCATTTCGTGATTAAATCTTTAGTCTGTTGGCAAATTGATTGCATTGGCAAATAAACTATTATATAAACGATTTACCCAAAAATAGTTCCAAACTTTTGAGAAAAATGTGCAATTTAACAAAACATGTACTCCTTAGAATTCGAAGTGACTTGGAAGATTTAAACTTAAAAACAGTAAATTAATAAGATTGTACTTGACTTAGTTTCTTCCTAGATTATAATCGCTAGTGTTAAAGTTATAGTTGGGATGGTGAGAGCTCCGTAGTTCCGGTGACAGCTAGCGACCAGCGGTGGACCCTTCTCACTTTTATCGTGACAGCATTTTTCATTCCCTCGGGAAATCACGCTCACTAAGCCAGTGATTAATTAGTTATCAAGTAAAGCAGTATTCAAGGAATATGTATGGAGGGTAGAGTGCAGTGTTATTGCGGGATCCTCCCCTCCAGTACGTGAACAGTCATCGTAAATCAAGTGAGCTTTCAGACACGTATCACAATGGAACGTACAGATAGAAATGATATACGTAACAGAGATCAGGAAATTGTTTCAAACTATTCTCTGCGATACGGCTACCGATTTCAGTACAGATAAGATATATCTTTACTAAGAAACTTCTAAGCAATTTGTATTTTTATTACACTACTAGCATCAATGAAGATTTTCTTCCTTATTTGAACTTGTTGTAGAGGTAGAAGAATATAATAGGTAAACTAAATGTAAATTCAAATTATAAACTTAAACGAATGGATACATGAACTACTAATAACATTGATTAAAATGTTACGCAAATATTGTGTAACATTAAACGTCTAGGTGTAATGTCCACATTGTATCGCATAATTGATGTTGCACGTTAGGCGGGGTGCCCCAATTAACACACCCCGATCGCTTAATATCCAATACAATGCCCTTTTACGAGCCTTCATTTAATAGCTCGTTGACACTGCATTCCGCCTACATTACGAACCGTTTTTAACGTATTACCAAACGTTGTTTTTAGAGGTAATTACTTTCAGTACTCCCCGAATGAACTTTGTCATCTGATTATTTTTATGCAAATTGATATAAATAAATACGAACTCATCATATTGTTTGATGTGAAAAGAAAATTAATAATAAAAATTGTCCTATAAAAGACCTGTACCATCGAATAATTTAACGAATTTTCAATACTCAACTATGTCATGATAGTATATGCCATGCAGTTATGCTTATAGAAACTTAACATAGTGAAGTAGACCTTCATACATATAGAACGTACCTGTTACCGTAAGTACTTAGGTATTGCAAAAATTAGATGGCAGTAACCTTCTATAGATTACGAGCTCTGCGAGCACGCAACTACTTACATTATACATGAAGTGGTTGCGTGTTTTTTATTTTACCGCACAACTCTATTTTGATTTGATCACGCTTTACTTTCGTAATGGAGTAGGAGGGTAAAAGGTTTTATATCAATTGCTCTGGAAAGAATGATTAAATTATGTTAAATGCTTTATTATACAAATTAATGAATGGATACATAGAATACGTAAGATTGTTATAGAGGTATCCAATAGGATAAACTGCAATATGGAAGTAACCCATAAGTTGGTTTAAAAATACTCTTTCAAATTGTCATATATAAATGGAATAGACAACAGTAGAGCCGCGAACTATACGCGGCGTATCCCGGGAGGTACATCATAATAATATTTTCTAATCACGTAATGTTGGGTGTTGCGGCGCGCGGTGTGCCCGGGTGTCTAACAAATCAGAACAAATGAACATCATGTCAAGCAACGTCGTCTCAGCGGGCGCCGGTGCCTCGATCCAACGCCCCGGGGTGGCTGGGGGACGGGGTGACCGCCTCCAACCCTATATCCAATCAATCATAGAGTGGGCGCGATGTGTCGCTCGATAACCGCATCCATGTGAGCTTTCTGTTTATACTATTACCTTTAAATAAGTCAACGCAAAACTAACAACTTCTTTCATTTACTGCACAGACGTTTTTCATTAATTTGCCTACTACAAACAATATTAATGTTGTTCGCATAAATAGATCGCGAATTGAATTCACTTAATACACAACATAGAAGATTTCACTTAAAAAATAAGTAAGACATATTAAATTCGACGAACTCTCAGGACCAATAAGGTTACAGGTTATGTTTGGAGAGTGCCCCGTTAAAGTAGGAAAAAAAAATATTTTCCTGTTACCTCTAAAGTGGGCGCTACGAAATGCTACGAATTGCTACGAAGTGCTACGCGACTTGACAAATTATTCAAAAGCAAATGTTAAGTTATTGCTGTAGGCAATAAAACGGCTTCTGATATATTTATCAATCTGATTTATATTTAATGTCATTTTTTGTATGGGTAAAGTCTGAAACGTCTTCTAAAGAAGTTCATAATACAAACAAACCATGTTCAAAAGTCATGAAACCCTCTGAAACTGTCTCATTTCCAGTTCTCATAATATAATTCACACCAGTTTTTCTGTCCATCGTCCCCTCTATATGGAATAAAGAACCTATAATTTTATTTATATCGCTTCTAGGAAGCGTGACTTTGGCCTCGTCCATTGCAGGAAGGGTTCTAGCCATCGCAAGTCTTCCGGATCAACACTTACTTATAGATATTTGGGAGAGCAAGTGCCGCGTACCATTTCTGTGACTTCGATATCATATCGAGGGATTTATTTATATATTTTCCTCCGAAACCGGAAAGGTTACAGTGGATTAATGGAGATATCTAACTCGACCTTTCTGATTATTTTCAGATACTAAGACACGTGTTGCTTTGGGACGAACAAGCAAGTCAAATAAGGAATATAATCTACCTATATATATACTTTTTTTTAAGGGGGCAAAATCATCAAATGACTGCTCCCGCCTGGGTGATGCGGGAGGAAGTGTCAGACTCTTACTGACTAAAAACCACCCCGTTCCTTCTCCTGCACGTCGGAGCCCGGGTTACCCGTTAGGTTCTCCGCGACACCTATATATATACTTCCGTACTAATATTAAGGTAAAACATTTGACAGTCCGCTAGTTTGTGCCTTTTTTTGTAAATTTAAACAAGTGCATCTACTTTTAAAAGAATAACATAGACTGCTATTTGTACTGAAAAAATATATATTTCCCGTCTCTGATTTCTGTTATATATTACGTTTATCTATCACCTACTTGTTACAAATATTCTAAATTCCACATGGACGAAGTCGCAGGCAGTGTCATATGATATAGATAAATATTCTCATATCAACAAATTGAAGAATGAATTGAGTTTTTTAGAGAACTCATTGCTTTCAGTATAATGTATACATGGGCTTATACATACATGACTTATTTTATAAAATACCTAAAACAACAGTCCAATAACTTGAACAAAAGTCTTTGCAGACTCAAACGAATATAAAACCAAAAGCACAATAATCTATACTTATAATAAATCTGTAGAGAGGTCAATTCTGTACATAAAATATATTTAAAAAATAACTATCAAGGGGTGGTTAGGGATCGCTACTGATGCCAAAAATGCA